AAATAAGATGCTTAACTAATTCAGCATTGATTAGAGCATTAAGTACTTTGCCAAAAAAGGTTAAGAGAATAATAGGACAATAATTTGAGCAGTCAGAGGGTTCCCTGGAGTTCTTACAAACAGGAACAACAGAAAAGAACTTCCAACAAGCTGGAAAGTAAGAAACAGTAAGGTATTTGTTGTAAAATTTGGAGAGAACAGGAGCCAATTCAACTGCAAGGATATCGCCCAAATCCATGTGCTCTTGAAATCAGAAATACTCCAGATGAGTCAAGAATGAAATTAAAAAAATATTTGTCTGTGATACTGTAGCACTAGAGCTTGCATAGAAGGCCAGCACGTCAAACCATATCAAACACCTTTGCAATATCTGGAGCCACAGCCTGATCTTTGCTCTTCTTATTTAAATCTTGACAGACAAATTCAGTGATGGATGTTAACACATTGATGGTAAACCTAGTGAAACAGAAGCTATACTGTTTGTCTGAAAGGTCATGTGAAGTAAAATGCTTAACCAATTCAACATTGATTAGAGCCTCAAATACTTTGCTAAAAAAGAGGTAAGAAACTAATATGGTGATAATTTGAAGGATTAGAAGAGTTCTTAAAAACAGGAACTATAGAGCAGAACTTCCAACAAGCTAGAAAGCAGGAAGTAGTGAAGCATTTGTTGCAAAGATTGGAGAGCTCATTTCTCTAGGACAATGGCAGGGATCCCATCACATCTGCTTGCCTTGAGGGGATCTAATGTAGAAATGATGTCAGAAATTCAGTAGAGCCTCCATTCTAGGGAGAAAATCTGGCAGAGGTACTCCAGATGAGTCATAAGTGGAGTTAAAAGAGAACTTCCAGGCAAAGCACTTATCAGCAGTAGATGTCAATACTTCATATTGATTGAAGAGAGCAGGGACTGAGGATTTTCTTTTGTTCAGCACACTCTTGCATAGCCACAATAATCTCTAGAACCAAATTTGTGAGAGGCTAAACAGTGTCTCATTCTATCAGCAGATAGTGACTTTTCTTCTTTGCGGATATGCTTACACTCATTACAAGCAATAACAGATGTCTGTTACAGTCAGACCTGTGACTAGTATAGCCAAAAGAAGTGATTCCTGTAAGCTAATGAAGCTGAACAGAATCATGGAGAAGATTGTGGTTTCACTTGATACTTTCATGTTGGCACATTTCTCAATAGGATGATTAAAATTAGAAATCAAAGGGGCATCATGAAGAAAATCACAAAACAAGTCCCAATCAGTGTTGATAACAGAAAGATGTTTTGTTAATAGGGGCTTCTTGACTGATAGGAGAGCAAAAAGAGAAATATCTATAGACACTACCATGTTGTCAAAGTTGCCAAGAGGACAAAGCTGCAAAGCACAACATGAATCTGGGGAGGAAGTAAGGAAGAGAACAAGTAAAGAAGCATGTTCATCAAAATTACTGGGGAAACATGGGGAAGTCTATTTGAGTGAGAGATTGAGTAACAGAGAAGTTCAAAGTCAGGATGCCAGCAAGATGGCATTAGAGTGGTTAAGTGACTTGACATGATAGGAAGTGAAGACAGAGATATTTGCAGACAGTTGTAGAGAAAGGGCCTTATCTATACTGTCAGAAATTCTCTCTGGCAAGCAACAGTCATGAGAGACTGCACACTAGAGAAAATGATAGCCAGGAACAGAGAATTCAGTGGAAACAATTTCATGCTCAGAAACTGGTACAAATACTACAAATGTTGGAGAAATTAATGGGAGGGGTAATTTTTTCTTGGTGAGCTGGTTTAGTTTTATTTGGTTTATTGCTTTTGGTTATGATAAAAGCCAAGAATAATAACAGCTGCAAGTCATCAAAAGCAACATGAGCTAACTGGAAATTTGCACAGACTGCAACATATGCTTGCAGGAACACTGTAAGAACCTTGATATTATGCAGCTGTTGATTGGAGCTGCTTCTCTAAGCACTACCCAAGAGTCATAAAATATCTTTTATAAAAATGAAGGTATCATTATTTTATGCAGTAACAAGTAATCTTTTCATTCATTTTTTCTCTTTCTCTATTAATGTTGATGGTCTGTCAGAAAGCAATTTGTAGCATTTAGATTTTTTTTAATTTGCTGTATGAATGAAAAAAAGTGTAAATTGCAATATTCTTTTTATAATGAGTGGTCCATGAAAAACTCTTTGTATGATATATATATTGTATGTATCTGATTGGCAGGAAAATTTTGCAGTTTTCTAAGTAAACCATAAGAACTTTCCTTACAACCAATTACATCCAATATAAAAGTAAAATAAAAAAAAAAAAGGAACAAGAACAGTGGTGTGCAAATCAATTTAAAAACACAAAAACTTTATTTTTCAGCAGCTTTATTGAAGTGAATAAAAAAAAGTACAGATTGTATTTGTCATAGTGGTATGTCCAAATTCTGTTTCTATGAAACGTAGAAATATATTATTTTATAATTACAAGCAATTACATAGACTTCAATGATTCCACACAGCAACACATTTTCAACAAAAAACAGTTTTAATTATTAAAATTGTTTAATTGATAATGGTGAATGTTGAAATTTTATCATTAAAATAATACAGGTCATTTTTTTTTCTAAAGTGTTATCTCTTGTTTTTATGTTAATGCTTTATCATATGTCCAAATTATATATAAATTTACAAATTACAAAAGGTTACTGCTTTGGAGTTTTATTTTTCTTTATAGCTTAGTTTTTTAATTTGTGCTCAGTTTATTTATAAGCTGTGAAGTACTTCATATTTATTCTGTTCTTGCCTCAACCAACTCTGAAGTGCTTTAAAATTGTTTTCATTGTATATATAAAGGAATCAGTCAACTATGAGATGACACAACTGTTAATTACTGTAACAATGAGCTCTCACAACAGTACCAGTCTGGCAGCAGCAGTTTATATTAGGTAAATTATAAATACATCAGTTCCAAATATAAAGTACAATATTCTACTTTAATTTGCTTGTTCAAAAACAGCTTTGCTGCATTGTTGATTGCAAGATCAACAGAATGTCTTTGATTTTACATTTGAAATCATAATCTTCGCATCTTCATTTAAAGATAAATCCTTTTCCCATTATAGATATTTAAAAAAAATGTCTGGCAGTGATCCAGGAAGGCTGTAACTCTTTTAAACTAATATCACCATCATATCTTTTATATTCAATGCATACTTTTTCTTTAATTTTCAACAGAATCAATCACTATTACAAATATCCATCAACTAAAATAGAGCAGATATCTATTGTCCTTCCTGGTGCAAATTAAAAGGCATATTGGTAAGTAACCAATTATGGTTAATGAATCTCACTAACCAATATTGGATATTAAACTGAAGATCATGTCCATTGTTATAAATGAATTATTTCCTGGAACTAAGTAAATCATAAAAATTTGTACAAATTTGTTCTGTTTACAATTGGGAGCAATATTACTTAGCAAATATAAAACTTGAAAGTTACATATTTTACTGTTACTATTGTTTACTGTAGTAAAATAAAGTACCTACTTTTTTTTCTAATCTGCCTTTTATAAGGCGAGTTTATTGGTAACAAACTTCATCTTTCATTGCAATTGATGAAAGTTAAGATTTCCCAGTTATCATTCTTTTGTTTTATCATTTAAGCCAACTCATCATTAAGATTTAAAAGATTTAGAGAACAAATAGCAATTTTTGTTCACAGATTATCCTTAAGAATTTCTATTTTTGGTTACTTTTAAAATCCTCAACTGATCTGCAATCCACAAGTTTTTTTTTTTTTGTGTAATAGTCTTTTCATTATGACATTCAGTTTATTCTTGCTTAAAAGTTTTGCTTTTTTTGTTAGTTAAAAGAGAGGATATTAAAACATTCGAAAGATAAATCAAAACATGAGTTTTTGCTATTGTCAAATTTTAGATTTTTCAACCAGTGCTTTTCATAGCAAATCTTTTAGTGCTAACTTTACATTCTACATAATGTAAAATGCTTCGGCCTTTATTGTTATTATAAGTTTTCTTTTTAAAGTGTTATTGGGCAGTGAGAATTTATAGCATAATTTTAAGACATATATACATACAATATTTATGATCACATAACCAATACAGAAATTATACGCATAACAAAAATAATACATATGCAGTCATTTTCAGTAAAAAAACTTTTAAAAATCAGCCAAATACTTTGGTGGTATATTGGATCTTAGTTTATGGAATTAGAAAACATTATCTAGACATTACTGAGAAATTTCACAACTACTAAAATAGTTTGCAGATTCTAATAATTACTAAGTGTTAAGTTGTCTATTTTTAAGAAAAGTTTGTAAACCTCAAGAAAATTCTAAATCAATCTAGAAAAACTTTCAGGTTTTTATGATGATTTTCTATATTATTCACCAATTTTGTCCACTGCAATAATGTGTGGTAAGTGGAGGGGGTGCTATAAGTACAAAAAGATACAAAAAATTCCATTGGAAATGTAAAAAGACATCATATTTTTGGCATATTGCATTATTGTAAACAATTTTTCGATTTTAGTATTTACAATATTTCTGGCAGTAATTTCAAATAACATCTATGTGCCATATCCCTTCAGGGTGTGGGCGATCATGGTTCTCCACAGTTTCCTGTTCGGTGTAGTAAAGTTTGTCTACTGGAACAACTTGTCTCAATAATAAACCAAGAGAGTCAACAGCAAGTAAAAAAAAAAAATAAATTAAAATTAAAAAAAAACTTCAATAAATTCTGAATAAATTTTTTATTAAATCAATAACCTTAAAAACAAGAGACAAAAAAAATAATTTTCAAAAAGAATGTGGGCATGATGGGAAGGATTTTTTTTTTCTTTAACTGATGATTTGTCATGTGAACAAAAAGAAATGTTTTTTTGATTTTTTTTTTTTTTTTAATTGTCATCATGAATTTTTGAAATATTTTTTGAGGCTGCAGATGTCATATTTGGTAGGAGTTGTAATGCTTCTGAGTTTAGGAGATCAGCAACTTTTAGATCTTTCTTTGGGGAAAATGCACAGAATCCCGATATCTGAAATCACAAGATTCAAAATTAATTATATATGGCATAAACAGTATTTTCTGGATGCACGGTTTTATAGGCGATGTATATCAGTCTTTAAAGAAAAAAATTCTGGGCAAACTTTGACTTTTGTGCCTACAAAAAAAACAGAGTGTCAAAAGGACAGATTTTCTATTGACACTGCTCTTATTTTAAATGTTTTCCATACTCGGAAATGTTTGTTGTTTTAAAAAGCAATGATTAGAATTGGAATAAAATCTAAACATATGGTGAAAGTGAATTTACACATTTTTTTTGTTCTTGAGAATTTACAACAAAAATATTAAATACTATTTATTTATTAGATTGTTTAGTTACAAGATTAATTTTATATTTACAAAATTATGATAACTAATACAATGCAATGTTTATCATTTACCAATTTATAAAGAAATAAATATGAAAATAATTTTTTATTCATAAATTTATAAACATTTACTAAATTATTAAAATCTGTGAAACAACTATAAAGAAATCATTATTATTTACCAGTTTACAAAGTTCAAATCAATCAGGAATTAGCCAATGTTTTTCCAACTATTCTAATAAACAATTAAATAAATAGTGTTTATTATTTTTGTTGTCAATTCTCAATAACAAAGAAAATGTATAAATTCACTCTATATATTTAGGTTTTATCACAATTCTAATCATCACTTTTTAAATGAATAAACATTACCACAGAGTGAAGGTAGTTAAAATAATGGAAAAGCCATCCTTTTGACATTCTGTTTTTTTTTTGCAGGCACAAAGGTGCAAGTTTGCCAAATTCTGATACTACTAGATCATAAGATATTGTTTAGAATTTCACAAAGAGTCATTATCACTCAAAGAGATTTTCAGACAAATAAACAAAAAAAATTTACAAATAAAAAGAGGGTTAAGATATTTTTCTTTGCATTCGACTATCATGAAACCCAATTTAAATATTGCCAAAAAATGCTGGGCCATATAAAATTCTTAAAAGGAGAGATTTTTCTAATTGTGTGGAAAATAGAACAATATATTTTTAATATAATTTCTATAATATATAATATGTTTATCCTTTTTAATTGGTTGTATTAATAATAGAAAGATTAAAAAAATATGTCTCATTATATTTTCATTGAAGTTAGGGTTTTTTTTTTTTACACATTTGGCTTAATGAATTGATTTGTAAATTACTACATAACACTTTAAACCAGGGTTTGAAACTGAACTGAAGAACTATTGTGGTACATCAATAAACTAATAGTAGCAGATTCAAAATGTGCTTGATTGTGGGTGTGACCAGGTCACAGAATTCTGGATTAGATAGGTACAATCTATACTGTTAACATTTCCAAATTTAATGTTAGGCTCTATACAAGGTGTTGCTGGAAAGTTTTGGGCCAAAGCAAAAAACACTTCCAAAAGAATAATCTGATGTTTGGTCATCTGGAAACTGGATCAGACAGAACATTTTTACTTTGTGTAAATCAATGTCTAACCAATTTTTTCACAAAATCTAAACCCATCTCATTGGCTGCAATAACTTAATATATTTATTCTACACCTTTTTACCATCAAATTCAAAGTTCAACTTCAAATTAAAAAAAGCTGAACTTCTAGATCCAATCTAGACATACTGGAGTGTTGTGAAGGCTGCTATGAAAGGCCACATGACTGAAACATTTGAAACTATGATGGCTTCACCACCAGCAGGAGTTAGTCAGAGCATGAATTACTCTACCTTGAAGAAGTAATCAATGAAGCAATATCTGCAATTACCCCATTACTGTGCATAAAAAAACATATAATCATGTACAGAAAAATTTTGTCCCAACCTTGATACAGCAAAATCTCCAAATAGGGGGATAATGTGTGAACTGGTAAATTTCTAATTATTCATCTGCAATTATATTGTTTATATGTAAATTAAGGCTGTATCTTTTAGCAATAATAAAATTTTAATTTGAATTTTGTCTTTTGTCAAACCCAAATTGAGATGTTTTTAATTCAAAGTTGAGCTTTTTAATTTGAGAGTAAAATGGTGTAGTCTAAATGGAGATAAAAGCAAATATAAACATTTTATTGTATTTTACTAATTTATATATATATATATATATATATATATATTATTTAATGTATCAGGACAGCAGATCATTATTAAAAATTTAATTTTAAATATAACACACAACAAATGTCTATAGTGTTTGATCATGAACCGTTCTAAGCTTTGTATATTCTCCCAAAACTCAAGCCACTATACGAAGCTTAGAACGGATCATGATCAAACATAATAGACATGAAACAAACAGTTGCCTCTGGGTGTTGACTTCATTATCCACTTTTATATTTACATATGCTCTGTCCCTGATACTGAACGTCTTAACCCATTAATATAACATAGTATAAAATATAAAACTATTTTATCATATATCTGATAGATTCTCCTGTCATCTTTGATGTATAAGGGTCCAACAGTTCAGCTCTTAAAACTGGACAGCCAAACTACTTTGCATATAGTTTGATTACAATGGTGTAGTCCTGTGCAGAACCAACAACACTTTTTGAAGAACTGAATGCATAGAACTGGTGCACATAGTGTGCCACAAGCTCTTCAAATAGTCCTTTGCATATAAGATATATAACATAATACATTTCTTCTTATGTGTTGCTCAAATCTAGGTAACTCAAATTTTGTATGTTCTGTATAAGTTTCCCTTTGAAATTAATGATTATTATTAAAAATATTTTTCCCTGACAAAAATATACTCATACCAATATGTTATTAAAAGTAAAATTAAAAAATGTGTGTGTATCACAGATTTTACAAGCATCAGTTTAAATAATTTGTGATATGTGGAATTATCATTATTATGTAGTGATTTATTTGAACTGGTTATATCATCAAAACATTTCAGCCATTGTACCTTCCAGAATTCTTTGTGTGCTGGTCATATTTGGTAACATTCTTAGAATCTTAAACCAAACCCTTTATTCACTCCGCAAGAGCAGTTTGTTCTCATTCTACTGTCCATGTTAAGGGAGATAATTTGTATTAGTTGAGTTTTCCTTATGATGCTGCCTCTGCTAAATCAACACAACCAAAGTATATGGATTTCACTGTATGCAGGATTTGAACTCAAGACCTCCAAGTGCATGCACTAGACCATTGTAGAATATTTAGATTGCATAATTGTGACAATAACAATCAAGATGAGAACAAAACCAGTTTGAATAAATCAGTGTAGAATCTTCTTAAATATTTAGCCATGTATTTGCATTCATTTGAATCTTTTGTTTTGTATATACATTTTATATTTGTGTCAAATTACATCAGAAAATCTAAAATTATCAAAACCTATTAAAATATAATCTCAGCAAGATATTTGTTACCTAGTTTGTCTCATATCCGTGGTCCTCACAAGATAAGATTATTGTTCCTTAAATCAGTTTATCTGCTTCTGTTTCCTTTTAGGAAGAGGCTTTTCAGGCCCCGGTAAAATAAACAAACCTGCTTTTAAGCTTATTTTATCAGTCTCATTAAAATAGACCTCCAAGCTATTTTGCCAGTGAATATTTTTTATTATGAAGGTAGGTAATATTAAAAATAGCAACACACAGTTTTAACACAGAAGTTTATTTATTTTCACCATCAATTGTTAAGACAATTTAAAATCTTTTCCACCATCAATTGTTAAAATCATTTATTCATCACCAATTATAAAAAAACATAGAGAAGTCTCTGAATATTTAAGCACTTCAGGCATAACAGTCTCTGCAAATCCCAAACTTGCTCTTGGGCATGGTTTTCTTGACAATACACTTCAGCTGCACTCACTAAAGATAGCAGTCACAGACCACAGAATCCATGTTGTTCAAGTCCTTCCTACACAGCTCACACAACCACTGTACTATTGATAAGTTATAAAACACTATTTATATTTACCAGAAAAATAGACTTGGTGTCTATTTTGCCAGGGTTATTTGTTTTATTTACTATGATATAAAAAATATAATATCACATTAATTTTATTTTATGCTTAGTATTCTGTATTACCTTTTTAATGAGCTGACGAGCTTGTAACAGCAGCCTTACTGTTAACAAGAAAAAAAATGAGTGGAAATGACAAAACAACAAATGGAGATAAGACATGGTTGAGGTAAGAAAAAGAACTTTTATTCTCTGGGACTTGCAATGTTTGATCGTTTGCTCATTCATGTATATCAGTCATCAGAAACTGAGAGTTCATTCTAGGTAGTAGCCAATATAATCTTGTTTGTCAAGCTTACCTGCTATGGGGATCCATCACTACTGCCAACCTGATTGAATCTGCCTTTGTGGGTGAAATTTACTTTATAGTCAGTCAGTGGATCAAAAATGGCTGCAGTGAAAACATTGACCTTTTCTGATTGGTCAGAAAAGATGTTTTCTGACCCTAATATTTTGGGCCAGATGAAATTAAGGTGTGTTTTTGTCATATGAGCTGTGGATGTTGAAGTGAGCACTTCCATTTGAGTTAAAGAATTAGAATTTCAACAGAGTATAACAAGCAAAAATATCTGGATTTTTATCAATCACCCAGTCATAGCAATCATTTCTCATCTTTGTAAAACCCACAATGCAACTAGATATAATTTATTTTTCCTTTATTTCATTTTTCATGTTTTGGAAGAAAAGAAAAACAGACTTACATCTGGCAAATCTTCTGAGTCATCAGAATTGTCACTGGGATACAAAATGTAACCACATTCTTGTAATTCTTGTTTGGTTACCTCCTGACCATCTAAGTTGCTTAAATTTGGCAGGTCCTGTATAAGACGCCCTCTGAAATTAATATTTATCACCAAAAAATATTAGATATCTATCAGATAGATTTTATTTTTTAAATCTCTTTCATCTTAACTGCACAGATAGATGTTGCCATCATTCAGTAAATATACCTTGAAATTCCAATAACTATTTATTTTATGTATCAATAAAACAAAGTGATTAATAATAATGTGAGATGCAGTGTATAAAAGAGAAAAAGAGAATGTGTGTATGTTTGTGTAGGGAATAAAACTTGTGATATATGGATGAATCATTAAATTCATAGCCTGATTATTTATTAGTTATTAAGTGAATTTTTATCTGATGTTTTTATTGTTCATAAAATATGCAATCTATGTGATTAAGAGACACTACTGAATTAAGTGCATTGACAAAGATGGAAATTAAGTTGAGAAATAAATGTTTTCTTAGGTAAAATAAATACCTTTTCATCATTAGTCTATTGACTTATTGATATGCTTACGTAGCTATCAGATTTTACAAGTAGTATCTTGAATATTTTCTATATCAAACTCAATTTTGATTTGTGTTGTTATTCTATACTTGTGTCCAGTTGTGTCAAGAATTCTAAAAAAATTGCAATAAAAAGCCTTTTTTTCTGTAAAAGAAAATTATTAAATTTTATGGATAATGTTGAATGTGGCATTCCAATAAGTAATTGTCTATATTTCTGAGATGAGGTATTCTGTACATTATTTACACTATTCTGGCTATTGTCCTCATCTTTGTTGCCATATTTATTACGTTTCGTCCGGATTGTACAACGGCCGAAACATTGTAATAAATATGGCGACAAAGAAGAGGACAATAGTCCAAATAATGTAAATAATAATCCAATAAGTAACTTTCAAATATGATTGACAGTTCCTTATTCCTAAAAAAAAACCATTAAATAAACATAAAATCTCTTTCTCACTCTCTCTTCACTGACTTTAGTACTTTTGCACACAATAAATCCATGAGTAGTTAAAATTGGATTACCTGTAATCTGGATGAGATGTGCATGGATTTCCAGTCAGATTAATAATCATGAGATTTTCTGGAAGCTCATCTGCAAAACAAATTTATAAAACATTCCAACTTATTCACCAATAAATATTCTAAAATTTGTATTAATTCTGAATATATTCACTCAAATTATCTTGACTGATACTAAAAGAATGTGAAATACTACAGAAAAGACATACTTGTAGACAATCCATATCCAGGGGGTTGATTTTCATGTCATAATAGATATTTACTAGGTTTAGCATAATCTGGCATGAAGACACAATAGAAAGGCACTGATGAGGAACTTATTAAATTAGTTAATGGCCTGTAAAACTAGTTTGCTAACCATTGTTACAAGCTAGACATTTTTCTCAGAGCATTATAACTGAAATAACTCTATTTATTGAATTCCATATATAACATTATTCTGTTTGTATGTATGAATTATCCTTGTGCTTTATAAATAAGACAAGACTCAATAATCACTGACTATCTGAATGCAAGGAAATAATCACTTGAAAAAATGTCTCAGTAATTTGAATATCTTTCTAGTCTTTCTTTCCACACTTTTTCTTTTAATATTTGCCTACTCTTGCTTTCACTCTCACCTAACATCGTTTTTTATTTCTTTTATATGCATAAATTTATATTTCATTTCCAAATAATAATTCTATTCTATCAGCAATTGCAAATATAATAGATATTTCCCTAATATCATTGGGACATTGGTTCAAACCCTGCCAAAAAGCATATTTTCTTTATAAAACTCTTGAGTACCCAGGCTGGTAAACATCAATATCGCAATTTAAAAGACAGGGAGGTTTATCCATGCATATGTATCCATTATAAATAATAGTTATAATGATAAAACCTAATGTTGGATTATAAAGAAAATCTATAAATTCCTTAGAAATTACTTTGTTTACATTCCAAAAACAAAAATAAAAGTTAGCAGATATGGATGCCGAAAGGTCCCAACAAGAGATGTGTAATTCTTAAAAAGATTAATTGAACCTTGCTTTACTGTGAAGTCTTTTGTGGCTGAGTGGTCTGAAGCACACCTGACATGAAAGTGGTTTCCCCAATATAAGGGAAACACAGGTTCAACCCATGCCAAAAACCACATTTTATTATGTATCCTGAATGCCCAGGCTGATAGATATCAATTATACTGTTTATAGAAATATGTGTATCAATTATACTGTTTATAGTAATAAGAAATGTGTGTACAAGAGAGAGTGAGTAATGATGATAACTTAGTCATCAATATCCATGGAATTTCTACAGATCCAGCTAGTATAATTAAATAAAGTTAGATAAAGTTACGCAATATAGTGAATGGAAAAAGCACAAAAAATACAAAAATAGGACAAAATGCAGACATAGTGGCTAATTCTGAATGATGTAATTAGGTTGGTTTTGAATGCATTTGAATTCATTACTTTTGCTTAAAAAAGAGTAAATCTTAATACAAAAATCAAAACTTTAAGTGATACCATTTTAGTTTTAACTATAAAATTATCTAAATTAATATTAAAACTTGGAAATATTATAAGCAATGGAAAGATAAATGTTATAAAAAAGGATCATTTACTCACCGACATCAATCTCCTCAATGAGATTATCAGACAAATCCAAAAATGCTAGACGTTTCAATTTAGACAGGTTTTCTACAACCTCAATTTTGTTCTTGGATAAAGAAAGATATTGGAGATTTGGTAAGGAATCTAAATTCTCAATTGTTCTTATGTTGTTCTGAAAAGATGAAAAAATAGAATTTCTTATCTTTTGGATTAACCCAATCCCTGGAATCAAAACTTACACAACTATATTGTTTTAGTTGCTACAAGCATCAGATATTTAAAAAAATGAAATTGAAATAAAAAATTATTGATTTTGAGAGCAGATTCCATGTTTATTGTAGGCCCACTAATAAAAGAGTGCCTCCTCTACTCTAACTCTGCAATTTTGCTCAGATAATTAAGACTTGGAAGTCTTTATGTCTCCATGTAGCAGCCTCCATTGCCAATTGGTGGTGGTTGATTCCACAAAAAGGAGTGTCTTTTTTAAGGAGTTCCTGTATCTTTCAATGGTCCAGTATCAAAAGCTTACATTAATGCAACCTAAAGCTCAACAAAATTCAGATTCTAAATAAAAAAACCTGCAAGAAAGAGAGATCAGGCAATCAGAAAAAATTATAGGTTGATCAAGCAACAATCTTAAAACTGATCTGCAACAGTAACTTGATCACTTAATAAAAATGTCAGGGAAAAAATTAAAAAAAAAAATCAACAGATAATTTTTTATTTCTACTTAAAACATAATTCTTTCAATAAGTTTTTAAGGAAGCAAATAGAAAATTAAATTATTTCTTTATATGAAACATCAATTCTAGAAACTTGTAAAGATTATGAACAATTGCTTAAATTTCTCAAGTCATTGTGGAACCAACCACATCTGATGCCATTACTACTATCCCCACCTTGATATGTACATAATTATATTAATTCATTGTACTTTAGAAACACTTAAAACAAAAAAATTACCTTTTGTACCCAACTACTTCCTTAAGGCACAAATTAAATAGAACAATGCAAAGTGTTCTCTATTAGAATTTTTGAGATACAGAATTATATAATTGGTTTCCATTGAGCCTAGTAGACTCATCTTCATTGTTATACTCACAACATTTTGGCCATTGTATATTCCAATCTTCTTCAGGTGTGTCTCATTCTGTACCTTTTTTTTTTTTTTTAATTTTGAGCCCTTTATTCCAAGGATGGTGTCTTCTCATTCGATTTTCTAGACTAAGGAGATATCTCTATCAGTTTTATTCACCTTTGTGTTGCTTGTCTGTTTCTTCCACTGAACCAGAGTAAGTGTTGTTTGTTTTTTACACTACCTGACTCAAGCATTGAACTCACAACTGTCAGGGAATCAAATACCCACTAAACTTTACATCTCTTAGACAAGATAATAACATTTTTTACACTATTTACATTGTTTGAACTGTTGTCCTCATCTCTGTTGCTCTGTATGCTTTAGCCTTCTTCAGGTGATTAGAATTTCAAACTGAACCCTTTATCTCACTCTCAAGTGAGCACAATGGATAAAAATGTTGGTTGGGTCCAGTGACTTGACCCAAAGAGTTGTGAGTTTAATACCTGACTACTGCAGTGGTGAAGAAAAATTGGAGAGTTGAGTTAAAGGGAAATAACTGAGACATCCAGAAGAGGCATGGCACATGGAACTAAAACAGTTCGAAATTCCAATCACCTGAAAAGGCCAGAGTGTACAACAGCTGAAACATCATGAATATGGCAACAAAGATAAGGACAACAGTCCAAACAATGTCAATAATGTAAACACTTACAATACCTCATCTCAATAGATAGGGTAATAATAATATAAGTTGCTACCAAAAAAAAGTTCAGGGAATTTCTCAGTCTTTTTCATTTGTCAAGTTTTTGTGTTTTGCCAAGCATTTCACACATTTCTTGAAATCACTTCACCTGGAAATAAGGAATATTCTTGTCTATCAATGTTATAAACATAAGTATGACAGCACAAGAAAAATGAAACAAGTACCACCAGTGAGGTGAAAAGAATTGTTAAGATAAAATTCTTTGTATTGTGGAGGATATGAGAAGAATATTTCTTTGTGGACAAGGGAAGTGGCTTGGAGGAAGGGGAGAGTCAATAAGGCCTGAAATTGATGAATGTGCTGGATCAATTAAGTTCAATGATGGGGACATTGATAGCTTGCCCATTCACCGTTCTCAGTCTCATGAGCAGTATTCTTAAAAGTAGATCTGATGAATCATGACTCATTGTTTTTTGTTTTCATATTTTTACTTTAGTGGCAATGTCCATGATTGTCGCTTTTTATATTGTATTTTATTTTGTTTTTTGACGGGATTTGTTTTGTGAGGCAGATGTGATTATAGGAATTAAATCCTATATATATATTTTTCAACCAATAAAATTCCATCAGAAGTTTTGTTTGATAAACAACAAATACTGCCAAAATACTTGCAGACATAGGCCAGTGTATGATTGAAGCCAATTTGTTATTTTTGGACTATTTAGAAAATAACAATAATAACACCTTTCTCCATTCCTGCAAATTCGAGAAAAAGTTTTTCGCAAGCCAGTGTGATATTATTTTCTAACCAATGAAAACCTTTTTATTCAGAAAGTTCATACCCCTATATGAAATTAGATTTTGAATCCCCTTACAAATATAAAAATAGAACCATACTACTTCTCAGGGTTCAAACCAATTTTAGAATCCAGTTTGACCCACACATATGTACATGTACATAATGGAAGATATGATAGCCAGTAGCTGCCAACTAAGGCCTTGTCCATGCACACAATAGAAAGGATTAACCAGCAACCACTAGACCTTTTGTCTACAAACTTGCAAACACATTAGGCTGACTATCATAAAGTAATTCTGTCCACACATTTCACACTGCAATACAATGAATTACTTTATAAAACAAACTTCACTGTATGGAAAATTGAACATTTTATTGCTATTTCTGAAAAGAATATATAAATGTTATTTTAACAGATGTTCTACTTCTGCATTTTGTTTAGAAAATAACCTTGTATGTGTTTCATTTAAAAGATGTTGTTGTTGTTAAATGTTTGGAATCCTGACACTCAGAGTGCAATAAAATGCTTCTAAATACTTACATTTTGAAGGTAGATGTTTGTCAAAACTGATTCATTCAGCAGGTGTATGAAGTTTATTTTCTCTATAGATTCTGTATCCAACCGAAGATGAGTAATCTTTCTCACAGCCTCTAATCTGTAAGATAAAATCCAACATTTTTCCAGGGAATCAAATTACTGCAAAAATAAAAACATTCTTCTAAGAAAAACTTACAACTGTTTTCTTTGAAATCTTGCTTTCTGAAAATGAACAAATAGTTTTATTTGATGAGTATTTCTCTTCTCAATACAGAATTTTAGTAATTCTTATACATGATATTAATTTTTTGTTATGAATAAAATGTGTAATCTTCTATAATTTTGAGATCACTCTTGTAATTGCATTTATTGTTATCACATTTCAAGTGATGCGTTCTGCAGCCTTTCTCGAGTATAATCTATATAGGAATGTAGAAAATCCATATCTAAAAGTGAAATAGAAATATTTACTATAACAGATCATATCTAAGTAAAGAAGATGAGTAAATTGTTGCCATTTCATATTTAAGTAAAGAAGAGGCTCCACCAAGCATTGGTATAGCTAGAGTGTGTGCCATCCAGAGCAGCTCTTGAGTTTGCTGCCCCCACAAAAAATTACATACAGGGTGCGATGGGTAAATTGTTGCCATTTTATATTTTTAATTTCACACAGTATAGTAGGGTCAGTTGGGCATTGTCTGTAAGAAAAAGAGCTCCATGATACAATTCACTCTACTACAAATTTGGAAAAAAAACATACTGTACTGCTTGGTATTCACACCGAAAGCTCCAATACAAACATTTCAGAGTGTTTGGTTGTCAATCTGAAGGCAGTGCAGACGATTCAGAAAGAGTTGAAGTCAACATTATGGTATTTAGAGTGATCACTAGTGATGGCTACATCAAGTGCCTTGAGGATGTAGTGCTTCCCTGGGTCAAGAGGGTGGCTGTTGAAAGATCCTATGTCTGGCAACAGGACTCTGCACTATGCCACACAAACAGGAGAACCCAGTCATGGCTGTCAGACAATTTCTGTTACCACATCAGCCCTTACGTCTGGCCACCTAACTCCCCAAACTGAAATCCCCTTGATTGTTATATGTGAGGCACAGTTGAACAAGAAACTAACAAAACTCCTTGCAACATCAACGATGAACTGAAGGCAAGGATTATAATAGCATTTACCAACCTAAACAAGGAGAACATCCAGAAAAGTTACAGGAGATTCCAAAGTCATTTGGAGGCCATCGTTGAAGCCAATGGCAAGTTTATTAAATAACTTTACTCTTTAATATTTCAAGATATTTTTGTGTAATTTTGGTAAATATATGTTAAAATGAGATGTCAGTGTTATTTTCATTTTTGTGTAATTTAGATGAAAATTTTCCATCACACCCTATATTGCATGGTGACTCACTCTTAAAGTTTTATATATATATATATATATATATATATATATATATATATATATATATATATATAACTAGTTTGTGTATTGTTATAATATTACTTTCACATACTCACATATAGCAAACATACTTAAATTTTATCAGTAACAGTTAAAAAGCAAAATCAACTTATAGGGAAAAAAAAAATTAGGACCATCTTTATTTCTGAAATGAAAATTACAACTTTCCACAAAGTAACTATTCTTACTCTTTTGTTGGCAAATTCTTCAATGACATCATCAGAAACTATCGCATTTATTGATCAGTTTTAGTTTCAAAAAGCCTCTCACAGGTAGCAACACTAACAGGAAAATCCACAGCATTATTACTATATTTGGAACTGAGTTCCCAAAGTTATACTTTTGAATAAACTGCAAAAGTTCAAGGGGTGTGTGTGGGGGGGTGCTTCTTTCCATGTCTGTATTCTGTCTCTCTGGCTTTTTTACAAATACTTTCATTGTAACTGTTCAGATGAGCTCTTTGGCAAAATATTCGAGACTCTAATCAATGTTGGATTGGTTAAGCATCTTACTTCCCGGGACTTCCTTTAAAACAAACAGTATGGCTTCTGTTTCACCAGGCCTACCATCAGTGTGTTAACAGCTATCACTGAATTTGTCTGTCAAGATTTAGATAAGAATGGCAAAGCTCAGGCTGTGGCTCTAGATATCTCAAAGGTATTTAACAATGTTTGGCATGCTGGCCTTCTACACAAGCTCAAGGGTTACAGTGTCATGGGATGAATACTTGACTTAATCCAATCATTCCTAACAAATCATGTCACAAAGCTTGTTTCAAATGGGCATGCTACTCTATCATTTCTTACTAATGCAAAGGTCCTACATTTATTTAATCACCACAGAGGAACCTTTCTGCCTGCCATCAGCATAGCTGATGCTAAACTCCAGGAAATAAAGACTTTTTGCCTTTGTGACCTTACATTTACTGAAGTGGAGTGACTATATCAAATCAATTGCTACATCTACTGCAAGGAAAGTTGGGTCACTCTGTTGTGCTAGAAATTTTTTCCATCATGCACATTTATAAATCTACCATTCATCCATGTTTTGAATACTGTTGCTATATCAGGTCTGGTGCTCCTGCTGTACATCTCAAGATCCTTGACAAAATCCAAATAAGGATCTGTAATGTAATTGATCCTGAACAGGCATCTTAAATTTATTCACTTTCTCACCAGTGTAACGTTGCTTCACTCTGTCTTTTCTACAAATATTTTCATGGCAAATGCTCTGATGAGCTTTTTTCCTGGTACATGAATTTAAGCATGCTACTAGATTGGCAACTAGGTCTCACTGTTTTACTGTTGAACTAGCTCAATACAACAGCCCCATCTATTCCAATAGTTTCTTTTTTTTCACACTTCCCACCTGTGGAACTTCCTTCCAATTTCTTGCTTCCCCAGTAATTACAATCTTCAAAGATGTAAATTCAACATCACCATCCCTGGTACATTTTTTTTTTTTTGTCCTTCCCCATTCTCAGTCTTCTCTTTCACTTTCACTCTCTGTAACCACTTGTGTTCTTGTGGCATTATCACCTTGCTTGGGGTGAAATGATTAAAAGAAAAATTTTTTTAAATTACTTTATTGCTTGTGAATATTATAAATAACTTCTTTTTCTGTGTTTTATAATTAATGCCTTGTTCACTATTTTTACCATCTCCTTAGTTTATATTCATTGACAATCATCATCTTGTCAGATGATTTCACTTGATATGAGAGTGTAAGAATAAACAAGTCAGAACATTATGAAACAACAACAACAAATGAGGTTTGTGAAAAAATTAATATTGTAAAAAAGAAAAAAATAACATAACCCAGACGTTTCCAGTATGTTCACAGTGGGTGATCTTGAATCACCACTTTATTTACTAATTTAAAATTCTTTAAGTATGCATTCCAATTGGTAGACAGGTCAAAGGCCTAAAGTAGTAATTAAGTAGTAAAATATACACATTCCACATATTAAGATTTATACAAAATGTCATGACCACCTACATTTGTTTGTCTGTCCAGTCCTTGGATTCTTGTGGCAAATGACGCCGAATTATTATCTGCATTGACAGAGACCATTCTTGCTGTCGAATTGGTAAGGGTTCAACTGGAAAATGAACCAAAAGTAAAATAATTTAAAATAAAAGAAACTTAATTTTCATTATTCTACAATGTTGTCTAATGTTCCTGTGTATAATCAATGACTTCTTTTTGCAAAACAACATACAGTGAATCTTTATTTAATATGGTTATCAAAACTTTTTCACCAAACAAGAACAAAATATGCAGTAAATTTGTTATTTGCAAATGGCATGTGATAAACAGCATTCTAACACCTTCATAAATGCCGAATTAAAATTTGCAAAATAATAATCCCACTAAATCAAAAACAATTTTATGAAAAAAATAAAAGTCATTAACCCATGATTCACTTTATATATAATGTTATATACATTTACATCTACCATTCCATGGATGACTATAACACAGTTTGAGGTCCAAATTAAAAAAAAAAAATTTAAGAGGTCACTTGGGTAGCTATATATTGGTAGAGAGTTTTGTGGGGTGGGCTGTAAATGTAGGAAATCTTCACTTATATTTGTTTTGTAGCATTTTAGAATTACAAATGAGAAAAGAGTAAATTAAAAATATATTATTTGCCACAAAAGTGATGAAGAAGTAAAAAAAAAAAAAAGACATTTTACTTACATGAAAAATTAAATGAATTTTCTAAAAGTTAATGTATGATTATTTGATAGTTGTTTTTATTTATAAAAGTTCTTGATCTAGATACTTTAAATAAAATTAATTATGCTTTGTTCAAGCAGTGTTGGGGAGACAGGAACATAGAAAAAGATGAAATGATAAAAATGAATGAAAGAAACTGTATAAAGCAACAGTACAGTCTATCTTTTACCTCTTCTCACTCTTCTGATTATTGACAATAACACTAAATAAATACCACTAGATTATTAGACACAAACGAACAATAACAAATGGTATGGTAATAGTAATATTAGCTGTTTCCTTATAAGGAAACATTTGGCATTCATTGACTGAGAAGCCAGTGCTATTTTTGGCTGAAATTAATAACATCTTTCTATTGAAACAATTTTTCAGGAAAATAGGTTTTTCAAGTCACATTTTCTAGGATTGGTGGGGGGGGTCCTTCCTAACCTTTTCTTTGGAGTAGTGTGAAATGTCAACATTTTGATTATGCCATTATTTTCTCTTCACATTACATGTGATATCCATTTTAGTTGTTGTGGCTGGTGAAAGTACTCAATTGATGTGGTTTCTGTTATTTGGTACAGTTCTTTGAGCTTTTGTAGCACCAGTCCATGAGGCTTCAAGAAAGATGGTCATTGTTAAAGCCTGCATGCTTCTTTCACTTAAAGATATTTTTAATCATTGAACTGAGAAAGCAGTTTTATAGAGTTAACTGTTAAACATTTCTGAATGAGTTTGGTGCTATGCATGAGATCTGTTGGAAAATTTTCATCTAACAAGGCTGTTTAAAAACATGACTCTAGTTTTCAGGCTAATGTTTTGGTTTTATAGCAATTTGTGGTGCTAGGTAAAACTACTCCTAGCACAGCCTATTCTATGTTCAATTTCCTTATCCCCTACACTAAATTTGTTATAACTGATCAATACAGTGAGGTATTTGAAGTGTATACTGTTTACACATTCTGAATTTTTATGATGGATTCAGAGTACATGTTATCATCACTTTCATTCCAATTCCAGATCATAGTTTCTGTTTTGGGAATGTTTATCTTTGAACACTTTTTCTTGAAAACCATTCTTATCTCAACTATGAATACCTGTCATCATCATCGGTATATTGGCCTCAGGAAAGGAAAGCAGGAACATTGTTTTCTATTAACTGGTTCATTTAGGATGCGGCATGGAATGCTTAAATGATCAGTGCCCATCTCTTCATGTCTATGCTTGTATATGCACAGAGTATTGTTTAGGAAGAGATTAAACAAAATGGGGCTCTCATTGCCCCCTTGTCATACTCCTGATTTCGTTTGAAATTGTTATAAGAAGCATATGCATATGGTAGTATAGAAAAACAACAGTACCACCAGTGAGGTAAAAGAAAAAAAATGACAAGAATTATATTCTTTTGTATTTCCAATACATCAAATGATTAGTGAAATGTAAATGTAGGCATGGGAGGCAATTTTATAGGAAGGGTAGAGTTGGTAAGGGTTAGAGTTGATGCATTTGTCAGGTCGGTTGACCAAGGTCACGTGGTGACGTTGAGAAAGGTCTGGAGTGGATCAGAGAAACTGCAAATATGACTTTGCTGATACAGAGGGTACAAGTGGAATGTCTCTGTGGGTGTTTGGAGGAGAGTGGGTCACAAGTGGATATGTGTGTCAGGTCAGTTGACTGAAGTCACATGGATGACACCGAGAACCCACCAGTATCAACAGCTAGCCTGTTGGCCACATTCTGAACCAGTTGTTTATAAGTGATATTCTTAAAAGCAAATCCAGTGGATCCTAGACTCCTCTTATTTTTGTTTTTTCTTTAGCAGCAACATTCATGATTGCCTTCTTTTATGTTTTTTTTTATTTTTCATTTTTTTTTTTTTTTTTTTTTTTTTTTTTTTTTTTTTGAAGGATTTGTTTTGTGGGCTAGATGTGATGCTTGGAGCCTCCGCAGAGGACAACTTTTTTATTTCTTAGCACTCAAATCCCACCAACATGTAGAGTGAATCAGAAATTGATCTAATTTGAAGTTGAGTATAACAAAATGTTTTGGTTATTGAGGTCCTTGCCAGGCATGTACAACTTTGTGTGCCAATATAGTTGCTCTATTAGATCCCAATAGTCTGTGGAGTCAGAGCTTGGAAGACAGTTTCTAATGAATAAGAATAGGAAGTCTCTATTGATGTGGTCATATGCTGCTGTGAGGTCAACATAGCAGGTACACAATTTTCTATTGAAGAGGCATGCTATTTGCTAGAGTTGCTTGATGACATATATGCTATCATTATGTCTCTTACCAGAACAAAATCCAACCACATGAAGTAAAAATTGAGAATCTAATACTCTGTATTTAAATGAAAAATTTAAAAATATTTTGAATAAAACCCTCACTTACATTTCTTTACAATAACAAAGATGATAATTTTTCTTTGGTTATTTTATATTGAAACAAACACTGCCTCTCAATTTCAATGATTACCCATTCTGTTTGTAATGCTTTTTTATTTTTTCACACAATACAAGGCCTAAAGGCCAATCAAGGTATAGGGTTACTGAGTGAGATTGTAAGGGAGGGCAAATAAGAGAGAATTATGAGAGCAAGCAGGATATCAGTTGGTCTTTGACTTAAAGAGATCAAAATTGTAGCTGTCAGGGAAGCATCCTCTCGGGAGCATGTTCTGCAAAGTAACAGTTTTGGGGAAGAAGCTGTCTGAGTGGAACTTCTTTTTGATCAAAGAACACGGAGTGAATGGGGATACTTTGTCACCATGAACACTGCATGAGGGGTCCTAGCTATAGTAATAGCAATATAATAGTGAAAAGCTGGCAATATTTTGTCTGTAATATAAAGGTTGAAGTGTAGAATTCATTCCCACAAGGCTATGTAAGTGCTTTTGAACTTTGTTGAGGCTGGACAATGAAAATTGGGAAGTACCAGCTCAGATATAACAATATTCCATTCTTGGTCTGATTTGACTCTCATAAAGATATAGTATGTCAGTGGGAGTTTGGTATTTTCTGAACTGATAAAATGAACTGACCATTCTTCCAGTATCTTCTGTGATGATATGAACATACATGTCCCATTTGAGATCCCAATAGAAGTTCAAAGCAAGGAGTCACTTTGTGGGTATGGCAACTCATCAGGATTGGTGCAGGTTTAGGATCTATTAAGTGGTGATGAAATGTTATGAGTTTAGTTTTGGATGTATTAAATGATATCAGTCAGTCTTTTCAACATTGAGCTGTGAGAGTTAGATCAGAGAAGAGATCAGCTGACAGGTACTGTCATAAAGAAAATTGCAGTTACAACCATACCCTGTGATATCATCAGGCATATATATTTATTAAAGATCTGAGAGTGTTCTTGGGCAGATCATTGATATAAAGCAAAAAAAGGGTAGGACCAAGGAAAGAGCCTTGAGGGACACCAGCATTGATCTCATGTGCCTCAGATGACTGGGCATTAACTACAACCTTCATAGACCTTCCTGCTTTAATTCCTGAATACTGAAAAATCCTTTTCTTCAATTCACATGCATAGAAGAGCTATATCATGTAAGTACTGAAAATACTTTTCTTTCTAATTTTCTTTGTAAATAAAGTCAGTACTAAAACTTGACAGTTACTCCAACAATTTCTAGCATTAAAAAATATTACAGAATTCAGTGGTTAACTCTTTTCAAACTGAATTTATTTCTGAATTTCACCTGTTAAAATTAAATTTTTGAGCTCTCAACACAAATTAAGCACTCTATACATGATATATTCTGGTAGAATTATGCTCAGGCTATATGGTAGATGCATTTTTACTCATGAAGATCTGATAGCAGTTGTTTCCATGAAAAAATACCATAAAATATCCATATCTGGCCAGAAAGGATGAAATTATCACATTCCATGTTCAAGTGTTAATGTCACTATGGTAATTTCAATCAGTATTAAAAGCAAACATGAAAAGGCCATAAAAGAAACAATTTACAACAAAAAAAGGGGAGTAACAAAAAATATATATTACTGAAAACTGGAAATACCAAAATATAATGATTACAAACAACTAAACCAGTTTATCAGTTCTCTCTTAGCAGTGAAAAAATTGAGGACAAGAAAATGTGTCAAAGGTTGGTGGTACAGATCAACCAACACATACCAACCAATATTTGCAAGAGAAAGGTGGACAATTTACATAGGTGCATTAATGTATCATTCAGTGATAACTGAACATTTGATTAAAAATCAGCAGTGTGCTCAGTCTCATAGCTCTGACATGTTCTTGTAGTGAAATAGGACCAAGGAATTCTAATCTACCTGTGGCTAAGAGGCCATGATATCTTGCCTACTAGTTGGAGCCACCATTTGCAATTTAGTCAAAGTGCATGTG